GTAATCACTATACAGATTATTTGTATTTATTTACAAATAACAGGGGTACAAATGATACATACAAGATTAGAGACTATCCTGCCTGAGAAATTTGAGAACATGTTGCTAACAGTGCAGTTAAAATCGTTCTTTAAAGCGTAAAATCATACGGTTTTACGTTTCTAGGGTAGGAAAACGTTTCAAATCACTAATAAAATCGTTTTTTTTTACTCAAAATCGGTTAAATTCGTAAGTAGAATCGTTAAAATCGGTATAAACGGATAAAAACGCGTTTTCAAATCGTTTTTTACGATTCCAAGCAAAGGAGAAAACTGCCACCACTCATAAAACGGAGTCGTTTTAATCATTTCGAACAAAAAAAAAGGGGTAGGGGGTGGCTATCGTGAATCCCTAATTCTCTCCAATCTCCATCCCCTTCTCGTCGTCGCCCTTCTCGATGAAAACCATCCGCCGCCGCTGCGCGGCAGGCCTTCCTGTGAAGTCTCCCGGCCGCCGCAAGTCCACAGCCGCCGCCTTCTTGCAGCAAACTCCGGCGCCGTCGCCCGTCTTCCAGCGAACAATAGAGGGTGAAAGGGCTCAAAGAGAGCGACTAAGAGATCTAACAATTTTTTAGTGTCTCCATGAAAATCCAGGGAAGACATCTCCTAGTTAGCTTGGCTGTCAAGAAGGTAATCTACGTATTATCCATCTTTTCCTTGTAAATTGTATTGTTAGTTTATCAGTTATGTTGCTTCTAGGAGTGAATTCTTAAAATTATTATGAGATACTTCAAAGCTACTTTTACCCATTTGCTTCCATTTATCATTGAAACCTGCAACATAGTTCTCCAGTTGACGATCAGAACCACACAAAACTAACTAGACGCTTTATCCATTAATGAGCCTTTCTATGGAAAATGTGATCAAGTGCTCCTGATATAGACTCGATAAACCGTTCATTTGAAGCACTTCACGACTTCATTTTTTTAATTTTGACAGGACAAGTTCCATTAGACAATATCTCAGCATGCAGAACGTTGCCAACAACAAAGCAATCTATATGAACGAAAAACTAATGCATACCAAGCGGAGAAATGTTGATTAGATATGGAGGAGTCATGTGATCCTCGAGTCTATGTAGAGAATAAGAGTATAAATGGTGGAGAGGTTGCAAATCCGCTTCTTAGTATCGTATCCCTGCTTCATATTTATAAATAAATTATGATTCGAAGATGGAATTGAAAAAAGTTCATTGAAATTCAAGAATATAATTATTTGTGATGCACTATTATCTTGAATTGCAGGTATTTATTATATTATCTAAACTATGTGCACTCATATTTTACATATAGTTTACACCGCACTTAACATATTTTTAACTATTATACAGGATGCATAAAAAACTTACGCTTTTACGCTTTGATTCACCGCTTTTCGATTTTACCCCATTTCCCCTTTTAGGTAAAATCCCGCTTTTGACTGCATTGATTGCTAATCAATAAAAGTTTTTTTTTTAAACCAAAAATAGTTGGGTATATAGTTGAATGTGCCTATTAGCGACCATGGAAGTTTATTCTTATTCGAGCAAATACTGAAGCAATCTAAGAACTTGATAAAAAGATGGAATGTTGAACTCTTTCCAAGTGTGGGGAGAAAATGTATTCAGAAGATTTGAGGAGATTGACAGTTTAGAAGAAGACGGTGTGGTTCCGTAGCATGTCCGAATCAAAGAATTATTTTGAGGGGTGATTAAGATAAGTTTCTTCTGATGGAATAAATGTCGTTTTGGCGAAAAAAGTTCTGAGAATTGTGGATAAAAGCTTGAGACAAGAATAATTCCTTCTTCCATTAAGAATTGAAGACGTGTAGGGCCTTTTTGCCACAACCATGACAAATTCAATGAACAGAAGGCTAATAGATCATTTTCAAAAAATCACAAAATCATGCATGTCAGACTAGGGGAAAAAAAAAAGCAAAACCTTACGAGACAGACCCTTCTCAGAAGCTGAAATTTAGGCTACCTTAGTGGACTACGTACGATGCTGATTGATGCATCTTAGATTATACATATTTTTACTTCCCATTTTGCGTAGTTTAGCATATCATTTCAGCAAGATTTATATATATTTGTAAGTTTAATTTTTGATTTGGTGTTTTTGTGTGTTGTAGGTAGGTCACATTAAGCGAATTTGATGATCCTTGGACAAAAATACACAGAGGCTTGTAATTAGGAGTTCGGGGCAATTTAGAGTGCACTTGGACGATTTGGAAATTGATTTTACGAGTGCAACACGACCTAGAGGACGGTCGTGTTACCGGGCGTACTCGGGTGTTTCCTCGGGAAAACCAAATACCACCGTCGGTGCCGAATTCGTTTCCGACGATGTTGATTCGATGTTTCGCGGTGGAAACTCTTGCGGTGCCGTTTGATCGGAAGCACCGCTGATTGCTGAAATCGAGACGGCCGTCAAATATCCACTGGGCAGTGTTGATTTGATCGGTGCAACTGACTTCTGAAAACGATGACGATCGTCAAATATCCACCGCCGTGCGATGTTGATTTGATCGATGCACCTCTGAATGGTGAAATCAACGTGACCGTCAAATATCCACCGCCGGGCGATGTTGATCTGATCGATGCACCTCTTACTTCTAACCAACGCGACCGTTACTACGGTTCGCACCTCTCCAAACTACGTTCGAACGAGGGTGTTTGAGTTTTGAGGAATCTACGTTATGACTACTCCTATGGAGATTCCTGTGGAGAGCTCCGCGACTATGACTACTTCTACCAACTATGGAGATCCTTCCTGGAAGGAGAGCTCCGCGAAGGAGATACAGAGAAAAGGTAAAGTTTTGACAGAGTTGTTTCTGTGTTGATTTTTGGTTGTCCTTCCTCTCTCCTTGCTCTGTTGCTTTTATCCGAAAGCATCTTCGTAGTCTGCACGCAACTCCGTGTCAACTGCTTCGTCGTCCGGAGAACTCCCACATGTCTCAACCGCTTCGTTCCTCAAACTGCTTCGCGTGAACTTTACGTGAGTTGTTTTCATGATCCCGCGATGTCGTTTCCTTTCCCAAACAGCTCTGTTTGCTTTTCCTTTTGCGACATTGTTTTTTTATTAAACACTGTCGTTTGCTAGTACAGCGGTACCGTTGGGCTTGCTCGCGGTACCGTTTTTAATTAAAAGACACCGCTAACATAACCAAAAAATATCAATTCATGGAACCGCCGCGAGTCTGCACTCGCATTGGGCTGGGCGAATATTGGTCACTTACCCAATATGGTCTTTTTATTTATTTAATCGGTACCGCTTATCAAGGTTCTCGCGGCATCGTTTTTATTTTCCGCGATGCCGCTTGTCTCCATGCGGTACCGCTTCTCCCCTTCCGACAAGGAATAAAAATAATAATAATAACTTCTTTTCCAACACCAACATTAACCGTGCGGCCCACCTCTTGTTCTCCGACAAACAGTGTCGTTTTCAGTGTCACGGTACTGTTGAGCTTCCTTGCGGTACTGTTTTTCTGTTTCGCGGTATTGTTTTAACTCTCCGCGACACCGCTCGACACCGTTTTTTACCCGCGGTATCGGATTAAATGCCAAGACTAATTAATGCGACATTTAATTTAGGCCAAATTAATTTTAGGTGTAAACAATGCCCCCCACAACTTAGTTTATAAGATCCAGTTCTTATGAACTAAGTTGTTGACACAACTTATACCACCTAAAATAATTCCGAAACCACCATGGCTTAACCCAGAAACAACTAAGATGGCAAATTACACAGCTCGCCATACAACATTGGCGGCCAATGCAACATCGGTTTCACCTCATGCAATGTTGCTTGGGTGGAAAAATAAACAAGGTTATGTGAAATAGCCATGCAAGCAAGACCTACGTTGTTGATTAGTGGCTCGCAAGCTGCAATAGTTCGCAACCTTGTGTGTAGAGGTGGCAATTTCAATCCAATCCACCAATCCAATCCATCAATCCATTAAAAATATCCACCTAATCCAATCCATTTAAATCCAATCCATTTGATCCAAATCCAATTGGATTGGTGGATTCATGGATTGGATCCATGGATCATTGGCAAATTACGGTTTAGTACCTATAATTTTTATTTTTTACATTTTGGTACCTAAAATTTAATTTTTTATACGAAAAATATCATTGGAAAATTACGTTTTGGTACCTAAAATTTTTCATTGTGACATTTTAGTACCTAAACTTTTTACATTTTACATATTGGTCCTTGGTTGAGGATGTCATTTGGATTCATGGATAATCCACCAATCCACTTGATCCAATCCATGAATCCACCAATCCATTAGATCCAATCCATTTGATCCATGGATCTACCAATCCAATCCACCAATCCACCAATCCAATCCATTTGCCACCTCTACTTGTGTGTTCCAAGTTCCCAACGGCTGCGTTTTGGTGATATATTTTCTTCCTAACTAAACCATAATTGGCTTAATTGTTTTAATTATGTTTCCTTCAACTCTGCGCGAAACCATTATCAACAAGGAAACAAACATTCAACACCACTGCAACGTGCCGTAGGGCTGCAGTGCTGCTTCAACCAAAGCGGCAGTATCTTGCTCTTTTTTTTTTTGTGAAAAAGAAACTCTTAAATCAACCCTCATTCGCCTATACCAGGCTGCAGCAGCTCCACAACACCGTTTAGGGGAAGAAGAGGAAAAAAAACCAGATGTGTTTCATTACTAGCGTTCTTCACTAACACAATCACCCACCTAGGACAGCGCTGTTTGGCCCTCTTTATTTTTTTTATCAGCAACACTGCGGCAATCTCAACCACATAGTTTTCCCGCGACGCTGTTTTAGCAAACAGCAGCGTTTTGGTCCCATGGTTGTGTTCGAGCCTCATTTTTATCACTATTTAAATCGAATTATGTTTTCTCTTAAGCATGAAGGCCAAATACGACCAAAAATCCAAATTTTGAGTTGGATATTAGAAAAATGAGGATTTTCCAATAACTCATCGCCATAGGAGGCGATTGGGAATGATTGATCAAGGTTTTTGCCATGGAGATTGCTTCCTCTTATTCTTCTTCTTTTATGTTCATTCTCTCAACGTTTGTGAACTAATTTCCTCTTATTGCTTTGTACGAAGAACCCTAGTTATGATTGATGAATAGATGATTGTATGATAATTTGATTATGTTTGAACTCAAGATTTGTATCCGATTGATGCGTAATTATTGAATTGTTTGAGCCCTTATCAAGTTCTTGCGATTCCTACTTTAACCTATAAGAGGGAATAATTATTAGGTTAACATAGCACCATTAATTGAAAGTAGGGGATTGATTGCACGAGAGTGAGTCTAATACAATCACATATTGCTCAATACACAAGTCAGAATTGCTTGCCAAAGATCCAACCCCAATACATATGAAGAACCCTAATTTTTGGCTAAGTATTTTGACCATTTCAGGTAGCATACTTTGCACGTCTGGCTTTCTCAATTGGCTTGGTGAAAATTCAAGATTAAGCACTTGTTTTAAAGATGGAGAGTTCTTCTACAAGTTGGAGTGCTTGGAAGATCGAGGAGAAGCTAGGGAGGCCCTTGTCCAAGTCGATCCAAAACGTATGCCGAAACTTGAAAACTGCCTGATTTTGGCCAAGGAGGATAAGATGTTCGAGGTAGCAACTTTGTGACTCTATTCGAAGAGTTTGGGGTACAATCAGCTGGGCTTTCAGGTTGGAAGATGAAAGTGTGCAACTTTCTAAACCACATGAAGGAATTGGTTGAGCTCGAATCGATCCATAAGCCCATTTTCCAGGAGCTTGAAGATGGTACGAAAGGCTGTTTACTGGACAGTTTACTTGGAAGAGAAGATTGTATCTTGACTTACAAGTTTACTTGTTTTACACGAATTCCTTTCCTTGTTTAGCTTCATTTCATTGTTCAATTAGGATTGTATTAGGTTTAATCTACTACAAAAAAAAAAGTGATTTTAACGAGGGTAGAAAACGGTCGTTAAAAGCTCAATTCCCATCGTTGAAAGCCATTAACGACAGGAAACCACCCCTCATTACAGGCTTCGCCGTTAAAAGCCAATTACGAGAGGAATTTTACATCCCATCGTTAAAGCCTTCTACGAGGGGTCTCTTTCCTCTCGTTGTTGCTGTCCAATAATATAAATAATAATAAAAAATTGAGCCGCAATGTGCAATTATTATCCAGCCATATTTGGAGGTAATTAAGACGTTATTAATCAATTGATCTCAATCTTGGTTATTATCATGGTTAATTCGCCTCGATTATGCAAACTCAAACAGATTTTACCCAATCTTCCAAATATTATTTCAGAAGGCCACGAACCATCTAGCTAGCTAGTTATAAAATAAAATTACAAACATACATCAGTCAATCAAAAGAAGAAAAAATAGAACCAGAAAATGTTATTAAGGTCAAGCTAGTGTACAAGATTACAACTCCCAGAACGTTTCTTCCTCTAAGACCACATTAATTATTCGAACTCCTCCTTCTCATCGACTTTGTGGCTTTGTCCTTTCTTCTTTCTAGAGGGAGACTTCTTTTCGATCTAATGAGTGGGGGAGGAAAAGAAAGCGTGGCCACAGAGTTCAGAGGGGGTCAAATCCGAAGGAGCAGCAACAAACTTTGCGAGGAAGAGCGGCCATGTATGCGGCGAAGGCCTGATAGCAGAGGAGGTCAGAGATTTCGATGGGTTGGTGGAGCTTGTGACCAAAATATAGTTGAAGCTTGTGGATCTAGAACCAAGACAGAGTTAGCAGTAGATGGTTCTTGAAAGCTTTAGAGATGGTTCTTGTAGGCAAGAAGCAAGAAGAATCAAAAGAATAGAATGAAGAAAACAATGCATCATCGAAGTGGTAGTCGTTCGATTGGAAATATTAGATACAATCTGGTAATTATTCTCGTAATGTCACCACTTGAAATTTTTATTGGTTTTAAAGGACTATGGGTGATTTGATGCTAAGACTACTGCTTTGTTGTTGCAGCTATTATTATTTATTTAGTACAACACGTATATATTGTCGTTTGATATGCAATTGCCCTTCTCTAATTTTCATGCGTAGGCAGCAAAAAATGGAACTAAACCAAAAGAGGACGAAGTTTGGTTTCAAACTTACAAGAGCGGAGATGAGATAAAGGATACAGAAGCAAAACGGCACACGTAATTACAATTTCTCTCATCCTTAATTGCATTTGCTGTCAATTTTGATGATATATTGGTTAATTCCCACTTTTCATAGGTTAATATTAAGGAAACTATCGAAGCTGATCCTACTTTGGAGCGGATCGAAGTGATAGAAAAGTGTGTTGGGAAACAGAATCACGGCCATGTAATAGGATCTGGAGCTGGGGTAAAGCGAAAACATCTGAAGAGACAAAAGAAGGATACTGAGTCTGCAGCCAAATTAAGAAGAGTGGAAGAAGAAAAGGCTTCTCTTCAAGAAGAGAATCACAGCCTGAAGGCTATAGCCAGACGTGAAGCTAATGAAAGGGCTAATGGCGAAGATGAAAGACGATCTGGAGCTGGGAACAAACGCAAACAAGAGAATGAAAATCTGAAGGCTAAAGCTATGAGTGCAGCTAATGAAAAAGCTGATATGGAAGCTGCAATAGAAACAAAGATGGCAGCAAAGTTGAAGGATGAAATTATGGCACAGATGACCGGGCAAATGCAAGTTTGGGCGCAAATGTTCAAAGGTCAACTAAGCAACAACCAACAATCTTAATTAGGTACATACAGTGTGATTCTTTTGAGTTCATAGTGTTATTTAGAATAGATCATATAAGGGTAATATTTTTTTGTTTTTCCCCTGGCCTTATCACCTCTGTTTTAGTTTTTTGCGAAGTTGACTCTAAGGGTTGTATTCATGCGTATATTAGACCAACTTAGGCTTGTGGAATCTAGACTTTAGTTTAGATATTTTATTATTAAGGGCTGAATATTTGTGCATATGAAAGCAACAGAGGGAAACTAGATCCCAATCGTTACAGAGTACATACTTTAGAATTTTTAGATAAAGGTTGGTTTCCTCCTTTTGTTAGTCCAACTTGTGAGCCATTTTTGTTTTATGTTTATATCTTCCTTAGATGATTTTAGAACCTTAATGTCAGTTGTCTAATGAATCACTTTAAGATAGTTGGTACTTTTGAACTATGCATTTGTTTCCGGAACTTCTATTGACATGTTGTGATATGCATACTGATATATGAATCCCTTTTGGTAACTATTTTCGTTGTCATTATTATTATGATTACCCATCAATGCAAATTGGTTTAGTTATCATTCTTGTATGTTAAGACTCCTCTTTGGGTTGTTGCAGGTAGCTAGTGAACATCAAACATGGGATTAACAGTTAACATTTTGTTATATATGGAGGAAGATAATGGACACTTCATCAGAAGATCTAGAAGACTTTTTTTGTAAATGGTGTTAGATCTTCTAGAACACTGACATATGGTGGAAGCATGTATTAAAAAATTCCCATCATCTTTTGGACTTGAATGATTACTCATGTATTGGCTTTCAATTATTATGTAATTTGATACTATTAGCAGCAATTAACAAATACAATTGAATGGTTTAATGTAATGTTTATTAGTTTTTATAATGAAACAGGTGATTTTGTGTTTGGGAAAAACGGCAGCATATACATTTACGGGTATGATTATTGATTACATTAAAAAATATCGCTAAAACAAAGAAATGGTTGCATATATAATAGCTGGGACATGGGTATTCTACGGTCCCTAAATAGTCCTTTAACGACTGTATTGGTGCGGTCGCTATTGCAATTAACGGCCGGAGTTGAATCACCGTCGCCAGTTAGATCTAGCGACCAAGCTTTTAGCGGCCGGAAAAGAACTCTCGCTAAAAGCATATAGCGACCGTTTTCTGTCTTCTAGCCACGAGATTTACGGTGACTAAAGGATGTATTTTTTGTAGTGTAGTATCTAGGGGGAATCAATGGCTGAGGAACCTTTTCTCCCATTGAAACTAGTTTATTTTATGCTTTGTTAATCTTTTGCATACAATATAAACCTGGAATTGTTACATAACCAAATTAGTCTGAGTACGTAATAGTAGATCTGGCGATCCAAGATCGATAATTTACTACTTAACCACTATACTGCTTCTAACCATTACTTGCACTTGGCCTTTGAATAGAGTGTTAGTAGTAGGTGAACTAATTTTTTTGCGTCGTTGCCGGGGAGAAGTCCTTAGATTATCATAAATTCTTTTGTTTTTTGTTATGCACTTCATCCACACTTTGCATTTCATGGGTAGTTCTATTTTATATTGTACCAGATAGATAGGTACTAGATAGCCCATGAACCGTAGCCAATCTAAATAATTATTACTGCTTGGCAGAGGGAGGGAAATGGGTTGTATCATGCACCAACTCTCATTTTGAGTTTCCTTTATTGCTAGTTCTCCAACGATCCACCCACTGGAAATGGCCATTGGAACACCGCAAGCGGCATATGAATGATATTCCTCGATAAATTACTTTATGTTGGTACAGGTACTGAAACTCGACAAACGAATTTGTCTCTTTTAGTAATGTATCATGTTCTTTAGGGTTTCAGGTGTAATCATATTGTTTAAGTGAGGATCGTGTAGTGCTGGCTAGTTAGCTGTCTATATATTTGTATCTACCTGGTCAGACTCAGATCTACATCTTAAGCTTTGTGGTAGGTGATGGTGGTGGGGCATTAATTAATTTATTATAACTAGGGGATGTTGGCCGCGCTTCGCAGCGGCTATAAGATTGGTTTCTGGATCATTATTTGCAAGCGCATTTGCATTAAGTATATAGGTCAAATTTCTTTAGTTTAGCTTGAAGTAAATAGGACCTCAAGCTCAAATGTTTACCTTCAACTTGGACAGGGGCGGAGCTACACATAGGCTCGCCCCCCCTAGAATTTTAGAAGTTACGTACAAATTATACCGGTATTTGGAAATTTAGTATAAACTTATGAACTTTGTATAAAATTGTTCAGGTTGCAATAGTGGAACACGAAGGTGAGATAGGCCAGCGGCTGGGAACTTGCTTTCAAAGTTCATTAGGTTAGGAGTTCGCAACCCATTAAATGCACATATTTACTTTTCAATTTTTAGTCTCAATAATCGATACATATTTCTTAAATAAAAATTTTATATGAATTAAAATTGATGTTATGAAAATATTACAAAATATAATTTTTTTTCCTTTTTCTTAATTTTTTTGTCTCTTTGTAGTAGCAAATAAACCCCTTCGGAACATTACATTATGTCTTTGTTCCTGACTCAAAGATGAAATTGCATTTTCTGCACTTACCATTACAATTGGTAAATCAATAATAATTTTAGAATCATATAAAATAATGGATTCATAAATAAAACTTATGGGTATGATATATTCACTTTTGTAAGTTTGTCTACTTGAAATAAGTTGTAAATATTTTGATTAACTCTAATCATCTAAAAATGCCAGTTATAATGATAGCAAAAAAAATGTTTTTGTTAATTTTATCTGTTTTTCGAAGTAGTAGAATAAAAAAATTCGCCCCCTCCCCAAATGTCAAATCCTGACTCCGTCCCTAAACTTAGGGATAACGAATGACAAGTAGAAAATGATAGACCAATTATCAATTAAGCTCTATTTCATAGATATAACCCAAGTAAATTACTACCATAAGTTACAAAAACATTTTCTTGATGTTAGAAGATATAACTTACAATGAGACATAAGGAGTGCAAAGATACAATACAACCAGAATTGTTATGGCATAACCCTGAATCCTTTTGCAAATAAAAACAATAGAATGCACTTTTACTTACCGGAAAATGGTGTGCGGGCGAACTCCGCTGACTAAACGTGCCCCCACTAAAAA